GAGGCGGCCTTCTTCTTCCACCCTCCCTACAAATACCTTCCCCCCCTCCCCCACGAGGCCGGTGCACGGAGAGCCTTGTGTTCCGGCTGCCTGCACACGCCCTGTTTTTCAGCTAAATTTCTGAAACAAGACTGACCAGAACAAGCAACGATGAACTGATGAATCCCTGATGCAGCGCGCGGGGGGGGGNACGACGACACATTCTGGCCGGTCAGCACTTCATTGCGATGCAGGGAATGTACAACATTGCAGGCACTCTTTGTCTGTGTTGCAGTAAACAATATGCACATGTTTCTTTTATGAACAGAAAACAATCAGGACTAAAATAATGAATTGCTTTTTCAATCATAGCCAAGCTAATGTGGGTGCACAAAAAATGTCCCATGACATTTTTGGTAAACCAGTGAGGCAGTGAAACAGGAGCGGAATATTCTGGTTGACATGGGTTGAGAGCCATGAAGTTCTTACTGGGATCATGAAATACATTGTGTTTATTGAATGCTAATACTAACTACTGTACATTCCTAAATTAAAACTGCCTATATAAGACTTCATAGCAGATAAAGCTGAAATTGCTGCTCATGAACAGCCTGAAATGACCCGAAACTCTAGCAAAGCTAGCACCACACAGAGGTCTCTGGGGAGGCCATCCGCTGGATGGGTTGCCATCTCCAAACATAGCCCTGCTCTGTCTGCTACCTGTCTCATCTGGGAACACAGGCATGCCAGAGCATGGCTTCTGATAATGCCCTGTGCCTGGGCCACTGCATGGAAAAACAGCTGCTCCTTCAGATAGGTGACCCCAAGGCATTATGGCCTGGAAGGATAAAATCATTGTCCCAAATCATAGGAGTAAACAATTGGCAAATTAGTGCAGTGTAAATGGTCATGTATTCCCTATAGCTAGAGCCAGCTAATAAGCTAGCTGTTGTATTTTGCTGTAATAGTACCTTCTGTGTAATATTTCTGAGACAGACCCATATATAGGACATTGCAGTGGGGTGTTTGAGATATTTCCAGGGCCCGGAGAAGAACAGGCAGTCTCCCACTTTCTAGGAGAAAACACAGCTGGTGCATCAAGCTCGGCTGGTGCCACTGGCACCCTGAGGCACCCAAGGAATAGAGTGGTCTCACATCACTCCCAAAGTAGGGGGCTTTGTCCTGGAGGAGAAGCGCTCTCCCCTCCAGGACTGAAATCCCCTAAATGTCGCTCGGCTCATTGTACAGGACCTCACCAGATCCATGAGCATCAGGGCTTGTTCCAGCCTGCCTTATGGCCTCCTGGTTCATTGGCCTACCTGCAATTGCTGTGCAAAAAACAGAGGGGATTGCTTTACTTTAGCAATATATTCTGATGGAGCCTGAGCACCTCTCTCGGCAGAGAGAGACAGCAGTATCAAGCTCTCTCCAGCCCAACCAGGTTATCACACAGGAAAAATCATTCAAGTCAGGATTTTCTCTAGTATATAATCCGGACTAGCTGAAAGTTTTCACCCGGAGTGCCCAGCCCAGTTCTCTTATTCATGTCTACCTATTTTGGCTACCAATGGCACGAACCGAAGCACTTGATGCTTCCCTGCTGTCTTGGGTGTATGATTCCCAATGACCTGAAATTTGTTGATCATGTGAGCTAGAAAGAAAATTGGGGTGGGTGGGTTTGAGGCTTGTCTGTAACAGAATAATAAATCAAAACAGCCATTTTAGAATAGGTGAAATCTAACCTCACAGCTGCTAGTGAACCATGTCAGGAAGCCACAAGAGTGACAGACTTCTCAGTGGCAGGCCCCCGGGTGTGGGGCTCCTTTCCCACAGAAGTTCTTTTTTTCCTCTAGAAACAAGGAGAAGGCAACTTCGTTGCAGACTTTTCACCTGTATTTGGCCTTGTGCAATCTTTGTCTTATGTCGTTTTCAGCCTCGGCTTTGGTGTGCACAGCTTTCTTAGGTAGCATGGCCTTGTAACCTGCTCTGGAAAAACTGCTGTAGAGGAAAGTGAAATGGATGTAAACAAGGGGTGTGGGCCCATCCACCTGATTTCTAGCTTGCAGGTGGCAAAGGCAGAGGGAGCCAGTTAGGAAGGGCTGCTCCCCCATGGCCTGTGCTGCCGACTCTCTTGGAGGAGAAGCAAATGGCTTCCATGGTGCCATTGGGACAGGCAGCTGGATGAGCTGAAGAGCCGATGCATTTTGCTTGGAAGAGAGCTTTCCCCCCTGCAGGGAGAGGAAGGTGATTAGATTATCTGGATTAGAGCACAAACTCCAAAGCTTTGAGGAAGCCAGGAGCTTTGGGATAGGATTAAGGGATGAACCGGCTGAAGAGGGACAGAGGCAAGGAGCAAAGGAAGAAAGGGACAGATCAGAGTTGGGGCACAATTTGGTGGTAAAACCCACACCCTGCTGGTGGCACACTAATGGCACACTGCCTGAGAGCTACTTTTTTGGACTGTCCCCCACTGGCTGTGAGAACTGTAGCCAAAATATTACTGGTTGCAAGCTGTGCCCACCCCAAGAGAAGAGTGCATCCGAGGTGTCTCCGAAGCACAAGGAAGGCATGTGGTTTTGGTGTCTCTGTTGTCCATTGTGTGAAAAAAAACCCCACAACATCACCTCTATTTATTTATTTATTTATTTTATTTCTATCCCGCCTATCTGATCATATTAGACCACTCTAGGCGGCTTACAATAAAAACAACAATGTAATTTTAAGACCTCTCTTTGTTCTCCCCTCTCCATCACACAGGCCTTCGTTCCTGGGACATCGATCTGCAGTCCTGTGATCTGAATCAGCAGCTGAAACTCTTTGTCACACGCCATCTTGCACACTTCTCGTCAGAGGTCAAAGGTCAGTCTCCACCTTCCCCTCCTCCATTTGCAGATTTAAGAAACCAGCTGGAAGTTTGGGAAAGCAATAGTGCAGGGATGCGCACAGCCTCTCACCCTCTGCAGTGTCACAGGGAGGCCGAGATTCAGACCCTTTTCTTGAGGATGGGTGAGAAGAGCGGCCCTTCCGCTGGACACCCCCCCCGCATGTCCCTCTCTGTCTGCCGTCAACCAGGCCCTGCGCTGTGTATGTCAGACCTTCCTCTTCTCCCCACCTCTTGTCTGTCACCTTCCTAGTTATGAGCATTTTTTCCTGCCCTCTAGTTTCAGTGCAACATTCAGTGTGGAAAGGAAGGCTCATGTGGATTTGATGGGCTATTTAATTTGCTAACATGTTTACAGAAGTAGAGCCTTTAGTTGGGGCATTGTTAAGCTGCTTTAATACTCTCCAGGCCTTTTGACTGTTTCCTGACATGTTTTATCCAATTACCTCTTTTTGTTTCTGGGAGTGAAGAAATGAATCACAGCCCAGGCAAAATGATATCTTTGCTCAGGGGATCTTGTTTAAATAGTCAACAATTGGGTTAGGAAAGAAAAGAAAAGGGGAATCAGGAATTAACTAGGGGGGAAGGCCCGCCAAAACATTTATCCATTTGGTTGACTATCTCCAACATGAGGCCTTAGAGATAGTTGGTTCATGATCTACTAAAGACAACCCCCCACACACACACACACACACAGTCTTCTTGGATTTGCATCTTCCCCATGGATTCATGTGGCCACACTTCCTGAAAGAGCAGGTCAGTATCACTTTAACTTCTGTCCTTCTGGGACCTTGGCTTGAATCAGTCTCCTGGAGCTTGTCCCAACCTTGAGAGCTTTTTCTGTGAAAAATTTTGGCAATTGCTATAAATAGAACTTTGTAACTTTTTTGTTTTTAAGAGTACATGTCTGCAATTGTGCTAAAGCACATTGTTTGTCTTGTGGGATTTGTGCAGTATGACTTCTGCCATGATTTTCAGTGGACACATTTTCTTCACACCTTGTAGAATGTTCTTCACAGGGCAGGGAAGTCCACAGCTAAAAAGTCATTATGCCTTGCTTAGGTCTCTTGATTGCAAACCACCTCTCACCCTCCTCTCACTTCGACCAGGCCCTTACTTTGGGGGCTAGTAGTCAGGGTTTCTGGGACACAGGGCAGTGCTGGGGGGGGAGGGGGAGGACAGGAGGTTTCACCTGTGGGACGCCAGCACTGTATGATTGGGTTGGCTGCAATGCACTCAGTTTTTAGAAGAGGTGTCACGACACGTATTTTCAACTGGCCCTTTAGGGCTTTAGGGTTTATTTTCTGGTGGTTTTTTTTTTTAACTGCAGTTTTCATGTTTTAAAATGTTTCTCCTGGTGTTTTTTAAGGTTTTTTGATTGTTTTGATTTGTTGGACACAACAAAGAAGCAGAGCATAAATAAGAGGGAAATGGCAATGTGATTGTCTGGCACTTTGCAGTGAGAGAGTGGATGGGCAGAGGGGGCAAAGCCTGTGGGATCAGACCTTGAAGTGCTTGCGGCAGGGAAGCAACTTATTGCTCCCTTCAACACCAGCTCTACATTGCTATTGCTCTATGGATAGGATTGGGAGGAACTAAGGATGCCAATTTCCCCTCTGGAATGCTTTCTGCACTTGGCTCTTACACACGAGTCCAGGAGGACTTTCCACATGAGAGCTCCAGTGTGCATCTATCGCTCCAGTATCTCAGAGCTAGCGCGGGGCTCCTCTGTGGGACATGAGAATTAGCACAGTTGCCTCCAGTGCTCTCTTCCTTGGAGCAGCCGAGGCAGAGTCTGTCCCCAAAGGAAATGGGGAATGAACCTAGAGGATTTGTTTGCTCCAACAGCTTCTGGAGCTGAGCTGTTCTCACATGCACCAGCACTGTAAGCACCAGGAAGGGGCTTTTCAAGAGGAAGACGGTAATCCCACTCCTCTGGGTACTGGCCAGGCTTGGATCCAGACATGGATAGGCCATTACCTTAGGCAGATAAGCATCCACTGGACCTTGAATCCACTGAATGAAACCCTGTCCCCAGGGGCTGGAGCCAGCCAAATTGGACAAGAGGCAAGAGGGTGAAGCGCCTCCCCCACAGGTAGTTTTAAGAACCTTGTCCCTCTCTCCGATCTCTAAATGCTGCACCCTTGGTCAGATCAACAGTGGCATGGGCATCAAAGCCACTGTGGGGACAAGCAGCATCACCCGCAACGTATTCCACAAACTGGCCATAGCAGGATCCTGAGGAGTCAGTGTCCCCTCCACCAGGGTAAACATTTGAGTAAGCTTTGCCCCACAGAGAACCACAGGTGAGTTCTCAGATTGTTGGCTGGCTGTTCTGAGATGTCCTTGAGGCAGCAAAGTCAAGCCCCCCTTTATTCCTTTTCCTTCACTTCTGCATCTCTGTTGCTTTTGTTCTAGGCCACGTTTGCCCCCCCCCTCTCCAGCTTCAGCTTCATGAAATGTCTGTCAAGCATTAAGAGCTCCTCCTGTTCCATACCTTTCTGTGGTCGACCATTTTAGTAGGCCTTCCACTCTTCCAAGGGGAAACCACCACAGTGAGGCAAAACCTTGCCAAGGAACTGTGTTTATGACAATAAAGTGACAGGAACTTCTATTACACTTGCTTCCTCTGGCATACAACTCATATCCATCGGAGATCACTCGTGACATTACTAAAAAAGTAGACTACAGCAAAAAGCTGTATTTTCAGAACAACCAGGCTTTGGTCTAAATGAGTGAATTGTACAAGAAGAGGTGTCTGGGAGGAACAAAGGGAGCACATTGTCTCATCTTGTCACAGTAGCAACAGAACGTGTCAATTCCATGGCTGGCAGGGGTCTGGCCCGTATGCTAGATAGGACTTGGGGAAGGCAGTCAGGCAGTCAGGCAGGCTTTCCAGCTCTTTTGAGTAGAGTGAGCAGGCAGGTGAGGGCCACCAGGTGAGGGGCCAAGTGGCTACCAGGCCAGGCCAGTGTAAAGCGACTTCCTGCTGCCGCCTCATGACGTGGGTGCTCTTGCTCCCCAGCTTCCTTTCTGGGTCATTCTTCCAGTTCAGCATTCAGACACCATGGTGGAGGCCATTCCCTGGATTCACTCTCAGCCATAGGTCAGGATTGGCTCCCTTCCCTCTCCAAAGTGCCACCATCTATCCCTTTGTGATCATCAGCCTGGCAAAGGCTGGCACTCTGTTGGATCTGTCCAGGTAGCAGCAACAGTTCCTAGAAGACCCTTTCATCCATTTCAGATTTTTTAATTGTTGTTTTCTGGCTTACACCTGGACCCAAGATCACCACCAAGTGCCCTCTGTTTGATGGGAGCAGAACACATAGCAGGGTATTCACAGTAGCTCTCTAGCTCACAGTTGGACTAAAAGCTGTGATTTTAATTTCAGCACAATCACTTTTGAATTTGACCTATATATGTGATCAGACTATGTTTGATCTACGGTTGAGTGAGCAGCTTGGAACACCCCAAATATTTTTGGATTGCAACTCCCATCATCCCTAACTATTGGAGAGACTGGCTGGCACCAACTGGAATGGCACTCCAAAACATCCAGTGTTCATGGTTATCTTCTTAGGATCTCTGTTAAAACACATAAGGTGAGGGGGCTTAATGTAAGACATATTCTGCAGAACCACCACCCCCCACACACAGCTCATTCTAATCCCTTTAAAAAGCAGGATTGGGTGAAAGGTGGGGCATTTTCTGACCTCTTGGGGGGGGGCGGGAATTCCAATAGAGCTGAGGCTACCGAAATGAAAGGACTGCTTGTGTACCTGCAACTGAGTGTTTGCCACTCAAATACCCAGAGCCAGAAAACAAGGTGGAATATAATTCAGATAAAATGAAACAAAACTCCCAGCTCTTGTCATGTGGGGGATATTCTGACTCTCCATTCCTTCCACAGTCTCTCTGGAGAAAAGTCTGATTTCCCCCATGTAGGACTAACCTACTGATAAACAAAATATGTCATTTCTACTTTACTGCCTTGTGGCTTTGCCTAAAAGCAATGTGAGGCATTTTTCTGTCAACTGGTGGCAGGGCTGGGAAGGGCCACCTGTCATATTGGACAGGACAAAAGGGGGGGGGGAGAGGGAGACCAGCAGGCCTTTTTCACTGCTTATTCCCCTAGATATTTTTGCTAGTAGGAAAAAAAAGAGAGAGAGAGATTGTATTGGGAGGGCACCTGAAATTTGTGGTGGCAGGGAGCCTTTGCAACACTTTCACCGACCAAGTCACCTCTCCTGTAGATATAATGGAGTTGAACCTCAATGAAGGTGCAGGAGTGTTTTCCACGATCTGTAGGGAGCCTCCCTTCTTTGGATGTGATCCTGCTGGGTTCTGGTCTTAGGGAAGGCCATGAGCTGGAGTGTGAGGAGGTCTGTGGGAGGCAACTGCCTCAGGCAGCATCTTTGGGCTGTCATGATAGAGGAGTGGGTCATTCATTACATAATTCATTATTACCGCATGTTCATAACCAGGCAGGAGAAGCAGCCCTTGTTAATTGTTCCCCCCACCCCCCCAATGCCAAAATAACCTGGTTGCTTGACAGATGTAGCTTCACCTAGACTATTGAGTGAGGGCATCCTTTGACCATCTTCTTTCAGCCGTAAAATGTCTTGCTTCTGACCTGCACCTTTTCCACACCGCAGATAACCTACCACACACGGAAGCTGTCACGCAGGTGTGCCTACCCATCCATCTCTCCCATAGCCCAGCTTCAGGAGGTGTCTGCCTCTGAAACCTGGCTTCAATGCCATCATAGGGACACTGGG